TGTCGACCAGAAGTCCTGTTCAGTTTGATGTCGTAGATCTGAGACGTGAAGTCTTTCCAATCTTTGCTGATGAATCTGGTGTCCCGATCACTCACAATAGTTTTCGGGACGCCGGACTGCARAATGTAMTGCTGATGGAATTCTTSTATKACAAGTTCAGTCGGGGCGTGAGGAGGGAGAGGAATCAAGTTCAGAAATTTGGAGAAGCGGTCCACAATGACCATGACTTGTGAATTCCCAACCTCACTCACCTTTCCCATGTCCGTGAAATCGATGAAATCGATTCACCGGGTCCATCGGGAATGGGGAGAGGTCTCAGTAGGCCATAAGGCTTATGCCTGTGGACCTTGATTCTTTGGCATACTTGACATTCAGCAATGAATTTCTGAGCAAATCCTTTCATTCCTGGCCAATCAAATTGCTGCAGAAGACTTCCATAAGTCTTCTCAAAGCCAAAATGTCCACTCCGATCGTGCGCCAGATCTAAGAAGTGAGTTCGGAGAGGCGCATGGTTGGGTACACACAGACGGTCAAACTTTCCATACCGACGATCTACAAGACCCTCGCATTCATGAAAATCAGGCTGACTGTTGGGGTCAGCCTTGAGCTGCTCAAGGATGGGACTAAGGTCCGGATCCTTGGCAGTTTGCTCGACCATATCCTCCTTTTGTTTCCCCCGGAGGTCGTACGAGTCCACAAGGCAAGTCAAATACTCAGGATGGCGTGACAGAGCATCAGCAACACGATTATAGCAGCCTTTCTTATGTTTTAGTTCAAAGTTGAAAACATCAATGTCATGCAGCCAGCGGGACAGAGTTGGGGAGAGATCAGTTTGTGTCTTAATCCATTGCAAGGTCTGATGATCTGAATAGACCTTGAAGTGGCGACCCAAGAGGTAGTGCTTCCAATGCGTGAGCGCCTCGCACAAGGAGTAGAGCTCCCGCATGTATGTGGAAGTGGCTACCTTGTGGCTGGGCATGCGTTTGCTGTAATATTCAAGCGGACGCAGGCCATCGCCATCATCCTGTTGCAACACTGCACCAATCCCAAACTGGCTCGCGTCCGTAGTGACTATGAACGTGAGGTTGGGATCCGCAATGCGGAGCACAGGATGACTCACCAAAGCCTCTTTCAAGTCTTGGAACGCAGTCTCACACTTTTCACACCACGTATATGCAACATTCTTACTAGTCAGCCGTGAGAGTGGATGAGCAATGACAGAGAACTTAGGCACAAACTTTCGGTAGTAAGAAGCCAAACCAAGAAAAGAACGCAGCTCGCGTACATTCGCCGGTTGAGGCCAGTTGCGGATGACCTCAACCTTGGTTGCCTCCGGCGGAAGACCGCTTGCAGACAACCGGTGTCCAAGGTAGATGACGCTATCCTTGCCAAACTTAGATTTCTCTAAGTTGAGGTGCAGTTGAGCATCTTTTAGGACTTGCAAGACCTCCTCGAGATGCTTGACGTGCTCCTCCATGGACTTGCTAAAAATCAGAATGTCATCAAGATACACAACCACAAATCTGTTAGGTTGGTGGCGGAGTACCTTGTCCATGAGGGACTGAAATGTGGTTGGTGCGTTCGTAAGGCCGAAGGGCATAACGATGAATTCGTACAGCCCGTCGCGTGTCTTGAACGCAGTTTTGTGCTGGTCGCTCGGATCAACTTCAATCTGGTGGTAGTCAGACTTAAGGTCGATCTTGGAGAAGACTTTGCATCCACCGGCCGCATCCAGCGGATCATCTATACGAGGCAAAGGGTAGGCATTCTTCCTTGTGATTTGGTTCAAACCACGATAATCAATGCACATCCGGAGTTTGCCTCCTTTCTTCGGCACAAACAAAACAGGTGCGCCGAACTCAGACTCGCTAGGCCTAATCCATCCACGATCAATCATGTCATCAATTTGTCTCCGCAACTCCTCCAACTCGCCTTGTCCCATACGGTAGACGCAGGCCTTTGGAGGAACACTCCCTTCTATTATCTCGATTTTGTGCTTGGCTGAACGCTCGGGAACTCCGCGAGGTTCAGCCAACACTTCAGGAAATCGATCTTATAGATGGCGAATGTTCGTTGGGATTTCTGGTGGAGGATCATCCTCATCAGGAGAGAGAAAATCACGTTGGGAATTTACAGCGATCACATTCGGTTTTAACATATTTGGTTTCGAACTAGATTGATCATTTACAGCAGAAGTAGGTGGAACAGAAGTAGTAGTAGAAGTGGTAGAGTTACCTTCAGAGGTAGAAAATGCAGCAAAAGTAGAAGGCACGTGAAAAGTTTGTTTTAAGAGCTATATGTACAAATTCAGCTTCCTTGCGCCTGCGCACTGACCTGCAGAATTTGTTAGCACTTAGAAGAGTCACAGGGCACTCGCGCGTCTCGTCCAGTAAGACGGTCCGCTCGTTCCCGTTGGCATCAAGTACCACGAGCTGGTTGTCTGCCCACGTGGTCCTTAGGCAATGAGCCTTTAGCCAGCCCAAGCCAATGACCGCGTTGAAAGGACACTTGTCCAGGACATAGAAATTCAGCTCATGTGTGACAGTGCGATCTTTGTCAAAGGTGATGCGCACACCTTTGACAACATGAGTAGAAGTGACAACCTCTTGGTTGCCCACCTGAGTCCGACAAGGGTTCTGCAGTTCCACTTGCTTCATACCCAGGTCCGCCTTACGAATCCCGTTCGGAGAGAAGAAATTAGTGGTCGAACCACTGCCAATCAGCACACTGATGTATCGGCGGTTAATGAGTAGTTTAAAGAAAATCAGCTCCACGGTTCCTTGAACACGGCGTTGCTGCTTGAGCTGCAGCCAATGCTTCATGTGGGCGTGGAGGTCGACCTCTTTAGACTCCTCCCAAGGCTTAATGTACAATACTTGGACTGCGTCAGCCTTGGATTCAGCATTAGTTTGGGCTTCAAGAGCAAGCTGCTGATCAGATCCAGGCTCCTCGGAAGGGCCTGCAACTGACTGCCCAACTTCCCTTGCTGTAGAGAGTGCTGATGACTCCTCTACGCCCCTTGCCTGTTTCCCTGAAGACGATAGCAATCCTGCACAGCATGCCCAGGCTTTGAACAATGCAAGCATACGTGCAGTTTGGATTCCCATTCTTTTTGGCTGATGCGAAGGGCTTCCCAAGTTTTGATGGAAGCGTCCTCCGGTTTCTTAGGGGTCTTAGCATTCTTGGGAAGGTGTATAACTGTTCCCTTACCCGAACCACGGTTAGGCCCCTTATTTGAAGCAGTCTTCTTGAATGCATTAAGTTTTTCATCGTCGTTTCGGTCACACTCAATGGCTGATGCGGAACAGCCCGCATCGGAGTCCAGCTCTAGATCGTCATCTAGAGACAGATCATCCGTATAAGATTGATCTTCAGCCTCCTAATGGTCATGCAGTGCAAGCTGGTTGCTGCTTCCCAACCGCTTGCGTTGTGGTTTCCCACCTGCAGCGGGCGCCTTCTTGCGCCTGGCGAGGTCCTTGGCCTCTAGGTTGACTAAATCCTTCATGAGCTCTCGCCAGGTAGCATGGTCTTTGAGTGCTAGCAGGGAGAGATACTCTTTAGGGGCCACTCCCATGACTACATCCATGCAAGATACGTCAATCATTCCCAGATCCGGAGTAGTGAATAGACCAGTCAAGTGCTGTTCGAAAGCCTGCATGGATGACCTCCATGTTTGGCCCTTGAGGGCCTCAAGCTTCAGTCTAGCCTTGAGCGCAGCATGTTAATCCTGGTACCGGTCAAGGAGAAGATCCTCAAGGGTGCGAACAGGGGTGACCTTCAGCCAATCAGTCAGGTCTATGCGTTCATAGCCTGCTGCGACAGCTTGGAGCTCAATGTGGTTTCGCACGGCGGGCTCGGTATTAGTCTCCATGATCATACTTCGGTCCTCTTGCGGTGTCCGCATGACCTCGAAGTATTACCTCATGGAACTAATCCAAGAGGTGATGTCTGCCTTCCTGTCGTACTTGGACGGCAGCGTGGCCGCCCGCTTGTCCACCATGGGACCGCTGTACTGATCGCCAGTAAGGACTGTGGCGTTTTGGGCTGAAGTGCCTGCATTTGGGACTGTGACCAGCGCAGAATTGCCGGCGCTGCCGCTCGAGGAGCTGGCACCGGATCCTGCGCTTGCCGTGGTTCCACTTGATCTAACTATGTGGGCTGTGTTTGATTGAGAGACCGGGACTACAGCAGACCGAGGGTTAGGAGGGCGGGGGGCAGACAGTTGGGCCTGTTCAAGGCTAACTACCTTAGCCTCTAGCTCTTGGTTCCGCTGCTCAAGTGCTGTCATACGGGACTCGAGATCTTCCAAGTTCCGCAGTCGGACCAAGGCTGCGACGGCAGCAGCTAGCCTCTCCTGGAACTGGTCAGCATTGGCTTCCGGGACCTGTAGGAGGGTCTCCTGAGCAACTATACTCTCAGCTCTAGCTGCTGCCTCCACCTCCCTTTCCCGCTGTACGGCATCATCATACAATTTTTGAAAGAGCGGTTTCTGACTCTCGTCTGCTGCGTCCAGCATGGCCTGCCATTGGTCAGACGTGATGACCGCCATGCTGGAGGAAGGAATGTCAGTTGAACTCTCAAGAGGGGTCCGCTCTCGCCTGACGTTTGGACGAACACTCCTCTTGCCCCTTGTGACACTCTCAAACAGCACACCTTCTCTCTCCCTTTCCTCTCTTTTCGCTGTCTGCGCACGCGTCTCGATACTGGACATAGATAGTTCAGATAAAAGAAACAAACAGAAAACCACTCAGAGAAGAAGGTAGAACTCCTAGCCGGAGCGGCGAATCATTTGGACTGAGAACGTGGCACGCAGCAGCAGAAAAAAAAAAAA